TAGCAAGGCAGGTCATGGACTGGTGGGACACTAGAAGGAGGTCATGACTGGTGGGACACGAGGCAAGCAGGGTCATGACTGGTGGGTTACTTACAAGGCAAGTTCATGATGGTGGGTCATAGCAAGCAGGTCTGACTGGTTGGGACACTGGCAAGCAGGTTCCAGATCGTGGGACCTATAGCAGAGGTCATTGGATAGGTGGGACACTAGCACCGCAGGTTCATGGGAGGGTGGGACACTAGGGCAAGAGGTCATGACTGGTGGGTCACTAGCAAGCAAGTCCTGACTGGTGGGTCCATAGCAAGCAAGGTCAAGATGGTGGGACCATAGCAAGCAGGTCATCGACTGGTGGGACTCTAGCCAGCAGGACATGAAACTGGTGGGGTCACTAGCAAGCAGGTTCAGGGCAGTGCGGTCACTAGCATGCAGGTCAAGGACTGGTTAGGGACACTAGCAAGCATGTCATGACTTGTGGGTCACTAGCAAGCGGTCATGATGGTGGGACTCTCGCAAGAGAGGTCATGATGGTGGGGGACACTAGCAAAAGCAGGTCATGACTGGTGGGGGACATTGCAAGCAGGTCCTGACTGGTGGGGTCACTAGCAGGCAGGTCTGGACTGGTGGGAACTAGCATGCGGGTCATGACTGGTGGGTCACTAGCAAGAGGTCATGGACTGGTTGGGGACACTAGAAGCAGGTCATGGGACTGGTGGGGCCACTAGCAAGCAGGTAATGACTGGGGGTGACTAGGCAAGCAGGTCATGACCTGGGTGGGGGGGGACACAGCAAGCAGGTCATGACAGGTGGGGGACACTAGCATGCAGGTCATGGGATTGGTGGGGACACTAGCTACAGGTTCATGACTGGTGGGTCACTAAGCAAGCATGGTCATGACTGGTGGGGACTCTCGCAAGCAGGTCAAGACTGGTGGGGGACACTAGAAAGCAGGTCATGACTGGGTGGGTTTAAACATGGCAAGGTCATTGACTGGTGGGACACTAGCAAGCAGGTCTGACTGGTGGGACACTGGAAAGCAGGTCATGTACTAGTGGTACACTAGCAAAGCAGGTCAGGACTGGGTGGGGACATAGCAAGCAGGGTCATGACTGGTGGGGAAACTAGGCAAGCAGGTCATGGGATGGTGGGTCACTAGCAAGAGGTCATGACTGGTGGGTCACTAGCAGGGACAGACTGGTGGACCACTAGCAACCAGGTCATGACTTGCGGGACACTCGCAAGGCAGGGTCAGACTGGGTGGGTCACTAGCAATTCAGGTCATGACTGGTGGGACACTAGCAAGCAGGTCATGATGGTGGGACATAGGAAAGCAGGTCATGATGGTGGGGTCCAATAGCAAGCAGGTCATGGACTGGTGGGTCACTCGCAAGCTGGTCATGTGGTGGGAACACTAGGCAAAGCCAGGTCATGGATGGTGGGTCACTAGCAAGCAGGTCATGACTGGTGGGACATAGCAAGCAGGGTCATGACTGGTGGGTTCCATAACAAGAGGTCATGACTGGTGGGTACAAACAAGCAGGTCATGACTGGGTGGGTCACTAACAAGCAGGTTCAAGACTGGTGGGTCACTAACAAGCAGGTCAATGACTGGTGGGTCATAAACAAGCAGGCATGGCTGAGGGGTCACTAAACATAGCAGGCTGTGTTAAATTTGTCACTTCTGCAAATAAAGCTTAAAATTAATGGTTTAAAGAAAATAACAGTAGTCACTGTAATGGAGTTCTTACTGTACTAACCACTTTAAAAACGGTTTCTTTGACAACCTCGCTTCCGAGGTTTCAGCAGGGGGGGACATACACATGTACATTTGACACCAATGAGCTTCGTTCTGACAGGGGTCAACAGGAGACCACATTTCGCCTAGCCACTTTCCTGCTGAGAAAACAATTTCTAATTCGTGCATTTCCTTAAACATTCTTCATCTTCATACACTACTCTGAGCATTTTAATGTGAAGTTGCTGTGTTAACGCATCAGTGGCAAGGACTTTTACCAATTAGAGCACAACACACCTTGGGACCAAATCTTTCAGTAACACATCAAAAAAAACAACTCACCAAACACAAAAAGTTTCCATGGCACACTATCAACCACTCACCAATACAAAAGTCCATTCGCACATTCACACTAACCTACCCCAAGAGTTAACATAAGGCAACAGCATTACTAACACAAAAACTGCTCCAACGAGAACACAGTAACATTTCACCAACACAAGAACACAAGGTGTTTCCACAACAAACAATAGCAACACTTTACCTATATGAAGGTCCAAAATAAAACAATCATAATAGTATCACAAGTAGAAATTCTACTACTGAATATCATTATTCTTTCTACCATAGAAAGTGATTCATAAAAATCCAGATTTAACTTTTAGTCAACAGTAACACCGTATTACAACACAAAAGCAACATACAAAACACTGAGTAATACACATCACATACCCAGGAACACAAAAGCACACCCAGCCAGCTCCCCTGCACGTCGAGTGGCAGCAAATCAATTTATGACAATAACAATAAGTGATGGTGCAACACACAGGAAGTATGCAACAGGAATACAGCCTAATGCTGCCTTGGGTGAAGGTACGCTATCATCGACCTATACACATGGATTTGTGTATGGGTCGTGGTATTGTCCAACTTGGGCCAGTCTCAAGACCAAGGAGGAGATCCACCACTTGTTTGCCAAGGTAATTAATTCCCACATCATAGACATGATCGAGGAGCAGACTGAGAAAGTTGAAAAGGTTTGGCACTAAATACTCGTTGTCATTATATCTAATTCATTTGTCAAAAAATATTGCTTCGTTTAGGAAGTAGTAGACTAAGTTACATGTGTGTGGGGCTTAGTAGTTTAAATAGACAGAGATTTAACATTCGAGTTGTACATAGGTAATAGTAGGTAATAATAGGTAATAGTAGGTAATGACAGTAGGTAATAATAGGTAAAAGCAGGTAATAGTAGGTAATAATAATAGGTAATAGTAGGTAATAATAGGACTTTACTTAAAAGGGAGACAGTGGTCATGCTTGTAGGAAGTTCTCTTGGTTATTAGGTACAAAGTCATGATATTTTCTGCACCAAGATTCTATGGTGTTGCTGTATCAGACACGTATAATGTGATCAGAGGTAAATAATGCCAACAAGCTGATGAATGAGACATATGTGCAACACCTTGGTATTTTTAATGAGAGACGTCTCGCACAATCTAATACAGCTATGAGAAGGGGGATTTTTTCAGTGGATCCACTGCAAGAGCCGCGCGATGTAGGAGTAGATGTGGTTCACATGTGGACTGGGGCGAGTCTCACTACTTAGGTTAGACATATAAGGAGAGCTAGAGATTTAACAGTCGAGTAATACAGACGTCCTCTAGCTTCTTTGTGGATAATATTGAGGCTTAACCCGCAAGGAAGCTAAATCTTAAGAGAAGTTATCTCGGCCATGAAGAGAGTGTACTTAATTAATGTAGTAAGTCATGATTTTCCCATACAAAGATGCCACAGAAAAAATCTCCTTTCTATTATACAAAGTTCATGACTGACATAATTTCGTACAAGTTTCACCACAAGGTTCTTTATAGGAAACCATAAGATGTCTCTACAACTTGACTGCTCAGATCTATGGCCCACCTAATTTACTGTTATAATTCCACTAGTGGGCGCCATCCACAGGTGTTCCACTCTTCCACTGGATCCACTGTCAAATATCTCTCACTACAAATACCTAGTATTGCATATGCGTTTTATTTATCAATTATGCGGTGTCAAACGCAGGTTCAGTTAAGCTATACATTAACAAGAGCATAAACTATTCGGTAAAATCAGTATATTACACACACACCACACACACACACACACACAACACACACACACACACACACACACACACACACACACACAACCCTGCCAAATGCAGTCATGAAGATTGGGGAAGGGCAAAGAAGACCGCAGACAGAGTATAGGCTAGGTGGACAAAAGCTACAAACCTCACTCAAGAAGAAAGGATCTTAGAGTGACCAATAACACCGAGCACATCTCCGGAAGCACACATCAACCAGATAACTGCTGCAGCATATGGGCGCCTGGCAAACTTGAGAATAGCGTTCCGACACCTTAGTAAGGAATCGTTCAAGACACTGTACACTGTGTACGTCAAGCCCATACTGGAGTAATGCAGCACCAGTTTGGAACCCACACCAGGTCAAGCATGTCAAAAAATTAGAGAAAGTAAAAAGGTTTGCAACAAGGCTAGTTCCAGAGCTAAGGGGATTGTCTACGAAAAAAGAATGAGGGAAATCGGACTGACGACACTGGAGGACAGGAGGTCAGGGGAGACATTATAACAACATACAAAATACTGCGTGGAATAGACAAGGTGGATAGAGACAGGTTGTTCCAGAGAGGGGACACAGAAACAAGGGGTCACAATTGGATGCTGAATGCTCAGATGAGTGGGAGGGGTTGGATTTGAGAGTGGGAGGGGTTGGACTTGAGTGGGAGGGGTTGGATTTGAGTGGGACTTGCACATCAGAGCTTATTTCTTGGGTAGCATAGAAAATTGGGTTGGTCAAATGTTTTGTTAGTGGGATGAATTGTAAAGGACCTGCCTAGTATGGGCCAACAGGCCTGCTGCAGTGTTCCTCCTTTCTTATGTTCTTATGTTATTAGGAAGTACTTCTTCAGTCACAGAGCCGTCAGGAAGTGGAAAAGCCTAGCAAGTGATGTAGTAGAGGCAGGAGCCATACATAGCTTTAAGACGAGGTATGACAAAGCTCAGGAAGCAGAGAAAGAGAGAGAGGACCTAGTAGCGATCAGTGAAGAGGCGGGGCCAGGAGCTGAGTCTCGACCCCTGCAACCACAACTAGGTGAGTACAATTAGGTGAGTATACACACACACACACACACACACACACACATTTGGTTTCATAACAATACAGACACAAGAGTATAGGAAGAAGCACAATATCTGCCCTACCTGTGCAGTTGTACATGCGGTTGGCCAGAAGTTTGTCACGGTGAGAGAGGCCAGTGCGCTGGCCAATGATAGTTTGGGCGAAAGGGTCGACAGTGCTGATGGTCAAATTCCCGTTCATTGAACGATACTGAAAACGGAAGGAAACAAGCTCGATCCTCCGTCTGCTGAGCGCCAGACAGATGCGCTTCCTATTTAGTTGGTTCTGCAGTCACTGAAATCACCTTCGTACGAAACATTATCACTGTCACAACCATCATTATCACTTACCAGCACCAGTGCAAAAATCATCATAAAGCTTCATTATCATCAGCATCACCATATTCGCCACTATATGAACACCATATCCACCCCTATCACCAGTGTCACCCTCATCACATCCCCTTCACCTTCATTATCACCTTAAACATTATAACCATCACCACCAACAACAATCAGGATCCTTCACCAGCATCAAGGATTAAGACTAGTGATGTATAATACTAATCTGACCGGTGACGAATAAATATACAGGTAATAAACTAATCAGAAATATAGAATAAATACACAGAAATAAATGAAGGATATGAGTTTGCAAGATTTCTCCTACAAACGTAGTCCCAGGAAAGTCTGTCTCTCCCAATACATTATGCATAACAGGAGAACTTTAACATTTTGTATATTTGGTGGTGTACAACCTCCTGCAACACTTGCAGGAGGTTGTAAAGAGGCGGAGTCCAACCTTAACTAGTGATAGTGTCATTGTACCAGTTAAGTAAATAATATATTTAATAGCAACAAATATTCCTTTAACTCGCCTTTTTTCTTACGTTGGGGCCTCAGAAGCAGTAGAGTGTTAGGGCTACGTCATCTGAGCTTCACATAAGCACATGTAATCACATGTTATTTACACGTGTACAATGAGTATGTCCTACAACTGTTACCGTCAGCATCCTTATCATGCTCGTCTTCACCTCCTTCGTCGGTGCTACCATCGTCACTCTCATCAAACTTATTATCATTGTCAGTATCACTACCATTATCATCATTGCAAGTACTATAATGACTATAATCTTAGTTAACACCGTCTCCTCTGCCAACAGTGTCAAAATATAATCATCACATCTATAAACATCACTGCTACTGTCTTATCACCACCATGGGCACCACTACTAATATCTTCAAAAATCACCACGACCATCATCGTCATCATCATCTTACCAGACAGCCATAGTGCATCACGGAAGAGTAGTCGTAGAGGACATCGTAGTCGTTGATCTGGGTCGTGTTGCGCTTGAGAAAGTTGAATGTATTGTTAGAGGCAATGTTCGAGAAAATTATTTTAACATAGTTGTCTCGATCGGGTCGTGATTGTTCATGGAAGAAGCCAATGGCGTGGCCAGTCTCGTGAACTACGGTGCCCAGCTGTCAGGAAAAAGATGTGGCACTCATGATCAAATTTGCATAATTTTTGTTTGGTTAATATAAACTAAGTAATGTGCAATATAAACAACAGTAAGAATTAACGAACGTGTTTTCATAAGGATAGTAGTTTTACAGCTAAACTCAGGGAAGAACAATTGATTACATCTCACAGAGAGCCAAGGAAAATAAAGTTTATTCCCTCTTTACTGATCAGCTAAGTTGAGAATATGCTGTACTCTCAGACATTGTTTCCAATATTCGCATCTTCACTTCATCACTTTTATTTGAGGGTTCTGCTGGATTCTTATACCAGACTCTAACAAATATTTTTTATAACCTCGTTATGACTCTGATGCGGGAGGTAAAGATCTGTGCTCGCCTCTTTGTCAGCGCTCAGTACAAAAAAAAAAAAGCAGCAGTAGAAATAAAAAAGGCATGAGAAATTAAAATCAGTGTGTTGACTCACATGACAGCCATTGTTTGAGAGAATGATAAAGGATAACAAAGAATTACAAGTTAAACTGATTAATGCTTCGTGGTTTTCTTTAATCTAAGTACGAGGGTAGGTGTACGAGGATGCTCCGGTGTTCAGGAGTGGGTGTAATTTAACGAACGTTGGGCATTATTGACCACTGTAATAAAATAATTTAACAACAACCTCGATTTGCAGCTTGAAATTGCTACTTATGGCAAATGCTTTCCTGTCAAAATTACCTTGTCACAGTTTCTGCCTATGGAGATATTTTGACCAATAATGCGTTGATATCCAACGTTAGACCAGCATCCAGAACCGTAATAATATCTGAGGTAAGGCTGATTGGTGTTGTTGCTAACTGGGGTAAACTTGATGCAGGTGTTGTCCATCCAGTGCTGCAGGCCAGCACGTACTGCCGCCGCATTAACTGAGTGCAGCAAATAAAAAACTGAAAAGTGATTATTTGTTATTGTGACATTGGCATTCTAAACATCAACCTTCAAATAACCTGCAAACTGCAAAATTCTTATCTATCCTTCAGAGAACAGGTACAATGCCTTATATTTTGGTCACTACCAAAACTCCAGAAATATTTGACATGTTCAACACTATCAACACTCTGGAACTTACAATTAATTTTATACTAGAGGAGGAGAAGGACAACCAATTACCATTTCTCGACGTTCTCTTACTCACAGGTGACAACATACTTTTATACTTTGGGAAGAAACAGAAAGAAAGATTCTTTAGACATATTAAATAATTAATTAAAAATATATCAGGGAATGTTATTCATAAATAAAAAATAATTGATTCTGTGATTTTCACAAGAGTGAATAAAAACCTTGGCCATAGATAACAGTCTTTTACTAATTTGACTTTTTTTTAGAGGTAGATTTAAATAATCGAGCGATCCATACATGTTGAAAACATGTATGGATCGGTGGCCCGGTGGCTAAAGCTTCCGCTTCACACACGGAGGACCCGGGTTCGATTCCCGGCGGGTGGAAATATTTCGACACGTTTCCTTATACCTGTTGTCCTGTTCACCTAGCAGCAAATAGGTACTTGGGTGTTAGTCGACTGGTGTGGGTCGCATCCTGGGGGACAAGATTAAGGAACCCAATGGAAATAAGTTAGACAGTCCTCGATGACGCACTGACTTTCTTGGGTTTTCCTGGGTGGCTAACCCTCCGGGGTTAAAAATCCGAACGAAATCTTATCTTAACGCTGTGAAAATTTTCACTAAAACAGGTCAAAAATCCACACTTCTGGGTGAAAGTTGGCGTAGTTTCACTATAAACTTTAATGCCTTTCTTGTCTATTAGGAATCCAAAAAGGGGGCACCTGAATGTGGATGCCTGAATTTTTTCTTCTGATTATAACTTGAGAACATCTCGCCCAGTGAGCTTCAACTTTTATTTATTTTATTTTATTTTATTTATTTTATTTATAAAATGGTGTAGAATTTTTGTCCGTGAAATAGCTTGAGTACGGCTCATCCGAATAATTTAAAAATTAAATAGCTGATACAGCCTGTGAAAAGAATGTCACTTTTTAGGTTTAGGCAATGCAGATATAAATATGTCAATTTACGTAGATATTAAACTTGGAATTGATGAATTCTGTGAAATAACTACAAAAAATATTTCCTGGCTTCAAATGTTCACTGGTTACTTGAGCTTCTCAGCAGAAGCTTCGCCTTAATTTTGGGCTGTGTAAATTTTTATCACCTTTATTTAATAAGTTGGTTTCCTTGTATTATTATTATTATAATCAAAGGGGAAGCGCTAAACCCGGAGGATTATACAGCGCCTGGGGGGAGGGATGTGGAAGGCATTCAGGCTTAATTCGGGGAACTGGAGCACAGATCCAATTCCCTAAATCAAGAGCCCCTCACCAACATCAAGGAACCTTCCTTTAGGGGGGTTTCCTTGTAGTAACTGTAGAATGTCTCTTCTGATCGGCTTCCAACTTTAAGACGTTGGTGTCTCCCAATCAGAGAATGATTTGGATTGATTTTGAGATGTATGCGAGGAAATTCATTTTTTTTTCTAAGAAATGAAAAAATCGTGTTTTCATGTGATAATTTGTGAATGCTCAACCGATCAGCTTCAAACCTTAAACACTGATAATCTGAGAGTGCAAAGTGTTTATAATAATGTCAGTGAGATAAAATTATTTGTGAGTCTGTATTATTTTTTAAGTATAATTTTAAGGGAGTTTGGACTATTGGGCAAGTTCGGTTTTTTTGGGGCTTCAAACATAAAAGATGGTGGAATATTAGACTCTAAAGTGACTAGATAGTGACTCTTCTTGTTGACTTAAACTTTCTTCATCGGTATATCTTACCTATTGGAAGGTTTGACTTGGTTCTGCCTTGTATTGTTACCAGTTGTCGTTTATGATATACAAGAACTTAAGACATTATTTTCTCTGGGATAATTTGTGAATACCTCTTTTATGCTCCCATTTTATGCCCCCATTTTTCACTATTCCTTTTCTTGCGTTGGGGAAGGTGGAGCTGGGATAATGGGAGTCGATGTTATCATTTTCTGATCGCACAGTGACCGAAACCCATCTAGTTATTTTTGTGAAATGCTGAAGAAATTTAATATGTGACGAATTACAAGCACATGAATGGAGAATTTATGTATTCATTCAAAAACTATGTTAAAATGCTGTGGATCATAGAAAAATACCAATAATAATAATAATAATACTAATAATAATAATAATAATAATAATAATAATTATTATTATTATTATTATTATTATTATTATTATTATTTCTACAAGTACATACACAAGGTATACCGGCCTAGCTGACATCAGTGACATATTACTATATAAAAAGCCCTTTGTTATGCAGAGCATTTTGGGCAAATTAGGTCAATTTTGTCCCCATGTATACTCCAGGATGCCACCCACACCAGTCAACTAACACCCAGGGACCTGTTTTACTGATAGATGAACATGGACAGCAGGTGTTTTAAGGAAACACTTTCTTACTGTGGGGGCAAAGTCTATGTAAACACATCCCCAGTGCAATATCTAACATCAAAATAGGAATATGAAATTAAAATTTCCCGACACTCTCTGCTGGAAAAAAAAGGATATCTGATAACTCAGATTTAGTAAGATATCACGTTTTCTCGGTAGAGTGTCAGGAGACTTCTTGCCCTGACTGTACCTCCACTAGCTATGTAGTAGGGAACTAGTGGATAGTCGTCAGAACCATTTGGCCAGCGGTAGACCAGGTCACGAATAGCTTTCCTCTCCCTCAGTGCTTCCCATTGCTCGGACGTCAACATTATGTCCTCCTCAAAGAGCTTCTGTTCGTCCACAGAGTCTGGGTTGCTGTATCCGAACTCTTCATGCTGGGAGAGAGGGAGTCAGAGTTATATAGACAGGTTATGTAGACAGATCCACAGGAAAACAGATTTTTTAAGAACAGCATACATAATAATTATTATTATTATAATCGAAAAGAATAAGAAAGCATACATAATAAGAGAGTAATAAAGTACATAGGAATACATGAAAGAGACAGATAGCAGAAGATTAGAAGTCCACAGTGAGGCTGCAAAGAAGGCTTATCTTTCTGTCGGTTGAGAATTATTTAGATAGGTTATTATTTTCATTATTAAATTCAAAGGCAGAATGGTAAACCCATTTGGGTCATGTGTACGTTAGTTCCAGTGTCTTGGATCAAGAGCCTATCGTTTGCATCAATGCGCCTCCCCATTAAAGGGTATCTAGATCCGGGGTTTCCAGCTGGTAGATCTCTGAGCCCTGAGGGGAATGACCATTGAGTTATTGCAAGGAATCATAGCAAGTACTGCCCGTCCGTTCACTGCTTTATATTCTCAGTTATTGGATCCTAAAATTACAAATATTTCAGTGGCTGCAACAAGCGTACTTGAGAGACAGAGAGGGGAAGAGAGAAAGAGAGAATGATTGAATGAATGGTAGGAACACGAGAGATAACAATAAGAAAGTAACGATCAAAGAGAAGGTGAACACAGGCAGAAAGACGAACTTAACAACAACAATTGCTTCTCAAAGTTAGAACTGTTCAAGGAATCAGCTTACATCTAAACTTGGGATGGCGACGTCTTCCTTTCCGTCGTTGAGGCTGACACGTACAACATCCTCTGCTTCCTGTTCATAACGAAAACACAGATGACAATGTGACTTTGACGTATAAGTTATGACGTTGAGACGCACGTGTAGGTTCAGGGTGGTATTGAAGTGCAGGCTTAGAGGCATATGTGTGTGTCTCTCTCTGTTTATGTTAACATATGTGAGTAGTGATGATATCTACAGAGCGGTCCATGCGGCAGAGCGGTCCCTCCTGAAAAGGCCTTCTACAGAGCGGTTCCTTCTACAGAGTGGCTCATTCCTGAGCGGTCTCCTTTTCACACCTATATGCTAATGACCTTGACCTCACCCTCGAGACCACCTCACCCTCGAGACCACCTCACCCTCGAGACCACCTCGCCCTCGAGACCACCTCGCCCTCGAGACCACCTCGCCCTCGAGACCACCTCACCCTCAACCCCCCCACCCATGCCCCCACCCATGACCCCCACCTGCGCCCCCCACGCCCCCCCCGCCCTCGCGCCGACCCACCCGCCCACCGCGCCCTCGCGCCCGCCCGCGCCCCTCGCGCCCGCCCGCGCCTTCTGCTGCGCCTTCTGCAGCGTCGTCCGGATCGCCCCCGCGCCCCGATTTTTTTTCCGATTTTTTTTTATTTTTTTTTAATTTAATTTTCTTATGATCTCCATCTCCTCGGATCAAATTTTTGAGGTTCCCCCTCCCACTTTCACCCCAATCCCAAATTTTTTTGAATTTCATTTTCTTGTGCTCTCCTCGGATCAAATTTTTGAGGTTCCCCCTCCCACTTTTACCCCCATCCCAATTTTTTTTTCTCGATAATACAAAGACTCTACTTCCTTGGATCAAGTTTTTTTTGGATTCCCCCCTCTGGGGGTAAGCATTCAAATGAACTCCCACTTTCACCCCTATCCCAATTTTTTTTTGAATTTCATTTTCTTATGATTTCCATCTCCTTGGATCAAGGTTTTCTCGAAATCAAAGACTCCAACTCCTTGGATCAAGGTTTTCTCGATAATACCAAGACTCCATCTCCTTGGATCAAGGTTTTTCTCCTCCATCTCCTCGGATCAAGTTTTTCTGGATTCCCCCTCTGGGGGTAAGCATTCAAATGAACTCCTCCTATGGGGCATGGTACTCTCTCTTACTACAGGTCTAAACATGTGTGACGTCACCCTATCTATGTTTACTCGGTGGTCATTGACGTCACGTGATGACCTCACACATACAGGCTGAATCGTGTCGACTTCCCCCTATGTCAGTGACGTCACGTGATGACCGCACACACAGGCTGAATCTTGTCGAGCAGACATTAACTTAAAATGCAGGATAACACTATTTATTATACAACCAATGCATTTCATATACAACATAGGGAAAACATTTTCACTCTTAACCCAGGATAACCCAAATAATTCCACATTTTTTCGTTAATACCCACAACAATCCACAATTTCTTTACAAAATACAACACAAGTCTAGACATTTTTCTCGTTTTAACTATTTCATCTCAGGTCACTCCCCACGAAGTAACCTTCTCTCTCTCCTCCCCATCCTCCCAAACCCTCACACTCCCACCAACACCTCACAGTTTTCACTCATAACCCACAATTTTTCACTTTTAAGCAACTCTAGTTCGTCAACAACACCCACAACCCACAACACCCACAACCCACAACACCCACAACCCACAACACCCACAACCCACATCACCCACAACAACAACACACTTATAACGTCTTTTCGGTATCTCTAGTTCGACAACAACACCCACAACCCACAACACCCACATCCCACAACACCCACAACCCACATCACCCACACCCCACAACAACAACCCAGTTATAACATATCTTCTCTAACTCACCCACCAATTTACATTTTCATTCACACTTACACATTTCATTAACCGAAATTACATCTCATCCACCAAACTCCTCCCTCATTCTCCAGACTTTACAGCATTAGCACAAAAAAAAAACTATCTCATACACTTATGACATGAGACATTACCATAACTAACACACTGACTAACTTTGAACCAACTCTGAACATCACCAAAACACCACTGATCATCTTCAAAAAATACTCTGCACATCATTTGAACACATTCAAAAAACACCATCACCTCCGAATACTCCCAAAACACTACTGATTACTACCAAATCACCACTGAATACTACCAAAACACCGTCAAAATCACCAGAATCTATGTTTAACATCACCATCTAACACCCTTTTCATAGAAATCCCCTCAAATCACTATAACCAAGAACTCCCTCCCCATGGGCGCATAAAAAAAAGCATGAACACAAACCTATTACGCAAACACTTAGTACATGATCACCATCAACTGAAAACATATCTTGCACACACATAAATCTAAGACAACCACCAACAACAATCACCCATGTTCACTTACCTCAAAAATCACTAATATCACAGAAAACACTCATTTTTATAAACATTCACACAAAAAATCATATTTGACAATATCTAAGCGCACTCACCTCACTACCACCAACACACGATGTCACACCTCACAGGACCGACGAGCTCACCTCCAGTGACGTCACACTCCCATCTGTGTTTAGTTGGCGGTCGGTAACATCACACACAACCCACCTTGTTTCAACCTGTTGTACCCTACATTATCTAAGAACACTATAACCAAGACGATTACCAGATTTTATGACCCCACCACTAATATCACAGAAAACACTCATTTTTATAATTATTCGCACAAAAATCATGATCACCAATTCCATAACATGTTTACCATCATCTATCAACACTCATCACCAAGATCACCAAAAATCTAAGATCATGCATCACAAAACTACTATGATCACTGAAAACACTTATTTTTTTAACATTCGCACAAAAATAAGACATACACAAAAATACCACAACACTTCCACCAACATCTATAACATAACATGAGCACTATAACATATCACCATCACAAAAAAAAAAATAATACACAGACACCCACAACTTATACATTTCAATCACAAATTTAAGACATGAGACATACACACCAAATCTAAGACATCAACCTCCAACTAAGACATACACATCTTAACTAAGACATACACCAAAACCTATACTAGACATATTGCGGTATGAATATTCATACCGCATTTATCATTTCTCACCTATGTTGCATATCACATTCCTCATCCACATCATCCCTAAAACATCCTTCCTTATTCATCCGTATATCTCCTAGAGTTGTTTTAACCCCGACGTCCCATCATGACATTAGGAGCCAGAGTGTAGTAGGTGGTGTCGGAGTGGTGATGGTTGCTCTGGCTCCTACGTCGTGATGAGCCGTCGGGGTTAAAACAACTCTAGGAGATATACCGATGAATAAGGAAGGATGTTTTAGGGGTGATGTGGATGAGAAATGTGATATGCAACGGTCAAACTGGTAAAAATCTCGAACTAAGATTAAAACAACATAAATATAGCATTAGAACTGGACAAGATTCCAATGCTCTATTTATTCATGTAAGAGATTTTAACCATCCAATTGATTTTCAAAAAGTTGAGAAAGTAGTATCTAGCAAGTCCATGGTCGACAGGAATATAATTGAATCTTGTTTCATAAAAAGCAGTTTTGACAATAATATGAATATTTCCTTTGGTTTATATAAATTAGATCCATTTATAATTAATAGAATTTGGGAAGAATTTAATAATACACTGGACAAATAATTTTTAAATTTTCTTGGGTAGAATAGTTTGGGGGTGAGTTGTGCAAAGCACCTATCCAAGTTGGGTCGCCGCGCGTCACGTGTTTAACCGTTGTGGGATCTGATAGTGAGGTGCTGGCCGGACCCCTCATATAGCTTCCTTGGATGCTTCACTTTCATAGTTCCTTGATAATGTGAGTAGTCACGAAAGCGCTTGGAATTTCTCTATTCTTTCAGAGTGGTTGTTTTGCATATATATATATATATATATATATATATATATATATATATATATATATATATATAATATATATATATATATATATATACATGTATATATGAATATATATATATATATATATATATATATATATATATATATATATATATATATATATATATATATATATTCAACAAGTCGGCCGTCTCCCTCCGAGGCAGGGTAACCCAAAGAGAAAGAAAATCCCAAAAAAGAAAATACTTTCATCATCATTCAACACTTTCACCTCACTCACACATAATCACTGTTTTTGCAGAGGTGCTCAGAAACACAACAGTTTAGAAGTATATACGTATAAAAATACACAACATATCCCTCCAAACTGCTAATATCCCAAACCCCTCCTTTAGAGCGCAGGCATTGCACTTCCCATTTCCAGGACTCAAGTCCGGCCATATAAAATAACCGGCTTCCCTGAATCCCTTCACTAAATATTACCCTGCTCACACTCCAACAGATCGTCAGGTCCCAAATACTATTTGTCTCCATTCACTCCTATCTAATGCGCTCAGGCACGCTTGCTGGAAGTCCAGACCCCTCGCCCACAATACCTCCTTTACCCCCTCCCTCCAACCTTTTCGAGGACGAACCCTACCCCGCCTTCCTTCCCGTACAGATTTATACGCTCTCCATGTCATTCTACTTTGATCCGTTCTCTCTAAATGACCAAACCACCTCAACAAACCCTCTTCAGCCCTCTGACTAATACTTTTATTAACTTCACACCTTCTCCTAATTTCCACACTCCGAATTTTCTGCATAATATTTACACCACACATTGCTCTTAGACAGGACATCTCCACTGCCTCCAACTGCCTCCTTACTGCAGCATTTACAACCCAAGCTTCACACCCATATAAGAGTGTTGGTACTACTATACTTTCATACATTCCCTTCTTTGCCTCCAGAGATAACATTTTTTGCCTCCATATATGCCTCAATGCACCACTCACCATTTTTCCTTCATCAATCCTTCATAAATCCATCTGCTGACAAGTCAACTCCCAAATATCTGAAAACATTCACTTCTTCCATAATCCTCCTCCCAAATTTGATATCCAATTTTT